ACAATTATAGGTCAAAGTATGGCTTTCAACACGGAGCCTTGGCTCACACCGAACAGCAAGCTATAAAGGGCCCGGGCCCCTAGTGTAAAACAATTCAAACAGGAAAACCAAATGAACGGTCTTATCTATATAAAAAAAGAGAAACGAGAAACATTTATGAACCTCACCAACAAACAACAATCACTGAACAACAGGCTCCTAGTATATAGTTATAAGTACTTTGATACAGAGATGCAGTGTACGCGAATACAATATTTACGAAGTACTGTCATCACAATTATACTGCACTAGACGAGAGAAACGGACGACAGCTATTAAGGAGGATGAAAAATTGTTGTATTAGTATTTGATGTTACTTAAAATCATTGCGACGCCATGCAACCAAATAGCCAATGGAAATGTCGGAAATGTGAAACGAAAAATATCGCTTCATGCGGGAAATGATAGATTACAGGTTATAACCATAAGATTTTTTTAAGTTTGTTTCATAATAAAACCGTCGACATGAATGATCTGTAAACATGTCTTTTTTTAATTTAATATATTTAATATATTCTAAAGTTTTTTTCTGCAGGATAAAAAATTACTGTACTACATAATATAATTGTGTTCATCCCTGAAATCATCAGTCAGAGCCTTTTTTGGTAGTACATGCATGATCTCTAGCTTCAGTGTAAATATAAAATTTGTATGGTGTACATGAATGATATTTACAGTATACGTATATGATCTGTATGGTGTACGTGTATTCTCTTTACAGTGTACATGTATGTTCTGTACGGTGTACACATATGATCTGTACGGTGTACATGTATGATCCGTACGTTGTACGTGTACGATAAGTGAAATATAATTGAATGGTCTGTACGGTGTACATGTATGATCAGTATTGCGTATATGTATAATTTCTAAATTGTGCATGTATGATATTTACGGTTTAGATGTATCATAAGTTGTATATTGTAATAGATGAACTGTACGTTGTACAAGCATTATCTGTACAGCGTACATGTATGGTACATTTTTATCTACAGTATACAGGTATGAGTGTATATGTATGATTTCTACATAAGGAATGAAGTAGAAAATGATGAAAGTGGAAGCATATTTAAGTTTTCAATGAGTGGTCTTGAAAACAGTTTTTGTAAAACGATTAACAGTACGGCATCTAATTTCTTTGCTTTTTTCTACAAAATTAATTTTGTATACTTTTTGTGTCTTACCCCTGTTCTGAGCCCATTTAAATTGCAAATGTAATTCAGACAAACGTCAATCATTGTGCATAATAATAAACAAAATATTTGCATTTATAAAAATATGATTGGGAAAATTTGGTTGATTTAAAAAAAAAAGAATCATAAAATTATATTTTGTACCATACACGACCAAGAACCTCATAAAATAAATGTCTTTCTGGTGTGTTCCTATTTTTTATGTTAACATTATTATTCTATTGTTTAGATTTAAAGAAGAAAAAAAGAATAGTTTTGAATGACATCAACTTTTATAGCATTATACTATTTTGGTAATGTTTTGTATATACGTCTATACTTGTATATTATCATATACTAGTCAACAAAAGAAACGATACATGGCAATGTATTTTCCTTATATAATGAAATTGGATACACTGTACGAAGTTTAATAATTGCCAAATTAGTCTAATATTTACAGAGTGTTATTTTCTTATCAAAACCATTGATTTAAGGCAAATATGCGAATTTTTTTTTTGCACTTTTTGTTATTTTAAAAATCGTATTTTCACCCATAAATTCAAAAATCGATATTAGAACTTAAAACTTTAAACTTAAACATGGTCTGCTTAAAATTTTGAATGCCTTTGCAGATATTTGAATACTTAATTCTCATCTTCGAAATCAAGTGCCGACTTTTGTCATCATTTTCCGCAAAATAAATTTGAACCCTATGTGCAATAGCACGGTATTTTCTCACTTTCCAATTTGGTCAGATTCTTTTAATCATATGCATTTGCTTTGCAAATGAATGTTTTTCATTGGATAATTTAACAGTTTTTCCTATTTATTATATTTTATGATAAATTGGACTTCAAACTTGTGTATCGTTACTTTTGTTGACTAGTATGTATCTATACTACGACTGAAGATGTTTTTGCAATATTTCTGCCACTCACACTAGGACATAAAAGATTTATGTTGAAATTTTATGTCTAATAAAAGATGAAGTGTCCAAATTTGACAAAACGTTCACAACGCCCAAAATAAACCATATAGTTACAACAATGGATGTCTGAAGTTAAAATGTAACGCATTAGTAAGGTATTTGACACTTTTTGTGTCATATAGATTATGATGCATCATATACCACTATAGAAAATTAATGTTGATTGCTGCTTTAAATGGTAAATATGTATGCCAAGTCCTCTGTTGCCAAATTTATTAACAACACTGTGTTAACACTTAAATATCTTTAAATGTGATCATCTATTGATTTTTAAAAAAAAGCCCAGATTTATGTAAGGAATTTCTATGTTCTTTTCGAACTTTGTTAGTGGAAATTCCATTTTAGCACTTAAGCTTAGGTTATATGACCGTTTTAATTTTCTTTTTTTGAATTTTCGTTTATTTCTTTTTATTATGTCCTTCTTCTTTCCTTTTTGTGGGAAATGGGAACCCTTTGTTACAAAAAATGTTACTAGACGGTTTTTTTTTTTTCATCTTGTCAAACTGACTTTTCGTCAATATGGATTTCAAAATGGGTTGAGCAGAGACTAAAAGATTCATTTATACAATCTTAGTATTCAGAAATGTTTAACAATCCTAAAACATAATGATTTGTGCTATATTTATAAAACTTTTTTGTTGGTTTTGAACAATATATTTCAGAATTATCACCATATTACATTGTAGGTGTCAAGTCACCAATTCACCCACTCACATTTATAACAAATATAGCCCTACTCTCACTAAAACAGTGATTTTGATGTTATTGAGTTTTTTTCAACAAACAAATGAATTTACATGAAAGAAACTTTTGCTGAATGAGAAATATATTTTGACCATTTGAGCCTAAATTTACTTGTGCATGAATTTGCACTACAATTTAAGGGTAGATGAGGTAAAAGTTTGCCTATAGATTTTGAGAAAACCGATTTTTTTTTTTAGTTCTTACTGCTGTAGGTGAATACCGGAATGTCATGTGTCACACATTTCAGGATATATATCTATTGAATTTAATCTTAAAGTAAAATATAAAGAGAGCTGTGAAAATTGAAAAATTTGTTTGAATATTTAAACGAAAACCAATGTAGTATGTCATGTATCTTTTTCAAATAAGTGAAAAAACAGTTTGCTTAAATTTGTCATAAAAATGAAACACTTTGAACAACTTTTTTCTTCAAAAAATTTATTTGTGCAAAAACTAAGGATTACCAATAGATATAAAAATAAGAAGATGTGGTATGATTTCCAATGAAACAACTCTCCACCAGAACCCAAATGACATTGATGTTAACAACTATAGATCACCGTACGGCCTTCAACAATGAGCAAAACCATATACCGCATAGTCAGCATAGGAGGCTATTCCACAAACACATGTCGTGCGTACTCAAATTTTTGAACAGATTGAAATAGTATAACATTTTTTTTCTTTTTTGAATTCTTACATATTTTGACACGCCGGGGCCTTTTAATACTTACTATACGGTATGAGTTTTACTCATGGTTGAAGGCCGTATGGTGACTTGTATTTGTTTACATCCTCGTCCTTTGAGATTTGGTTTGATAGTTGTCTCATTGGTTATCACAGCTCATCTACTTTTAAATCTTTATATTTCAACAAAGGCTGTGACACATTAATTAAGGTTCATGTGGACCCTTTGGCTAAAATGGCTACGTTTTCACCTCAAAATTTACTCTGAGTACAGACAAACCTGTGCATCTGGAAAAATTTTAAGACACAGCATGCCCTAGATAAAATAAAATTAATGTGGTTGAAATATACTAAATGTGTTTATTAATTTCACAACAACCTGTATAATTTATCTATATACAATGTACCAATCTTTAATTTACATTTAAAACGGGTATAAAATATTTAAGAATCTCTCTTAACTATTGACGTTTTAACCCCCGTCTCCTATTTCTTCATATTGACGAAGAGCTCTTAATGACAAAATGTAATTCATTGCTTAGAAATAACAACCACGGTACCAATTTTAATGCACTAGATGCGCATTAGAAAACATTACGAACATTACGAACTCCAGTATATTGGTTCGGTCAACGTGCACTTGGATACCCCTGAAAGATTTGCAGTTGAAATTACAAGTATGTTCCATTTGTCGTACACACACAATCCCGTTCATGATAATTTTTGCAGTAAACATATTTGAAGTTAAAAAAACCAAACGTATCATCGATTTCCTTGCACAAGACATGTATTTCTTGAGTAACTTCTATCATATATGTTCGAGATAAAAAATAAATATATTTATAACGTTTAAGAGGAATTAAATTTTTGAACCGTTTAGCAAAAGAATTCCTTTGACACACCCTTTGAATCATTCAGATTATCTGCTATAATCTTAAAAGATTCGTCTTATAGCACACACATATTTTCTAGTAAGAATTTACAGATTCAAATTTAAAGGGACAGCTTAAAGTAAAATATGCAACTGCTATAAGTTTGCAATGGGCATTTTAAAATATATTAGATTAATAAAACATAAAGCGTCCTAATGAATTTGACTTGTATTTTCTTCTTCTACAGTCTGATCTGTATATGTTTCAATCCTATCCTAAGTTCATTCTGTTAAATAATTATAAGCAATTATATGACTTTGTGTGTGTATTTCAACTGACTGACCCCGTGTTTTGAATTTTATTACAAAAGAAAAAGCCGTGTTTCATTACACAGAAAACCATGTCAGGGACCATAACAAAACAAAAGAATCTCTTTGTAAAGCTTGCATTTTTTTTCCGGACGATGTAAGCCATCATTAAATTATCAAATTAAAATCAAAGTATTACGTTTTATTGATTATTTTATACTAGGCTCGCCGTATCATCATACGTGTCGCCTTCAATGAGCTGTATCCTTTCCAATGCTTCCAGGTGACACCAATAGTATTAGTACCCTTTAGATACCTCCCGTTAAGATTGGAGGCATAACAACCACTATACCACCATCCTCCCTTATACATTTCAGAACAGTTACCGCCGTAAACATCATTATCTCTATCCCTTGTAGAAAATCTATATCCATTATGAACGCCTAATGAATTCCCTGTGTTAAATAAAATATTGGCATATAAAAATATTGAAACTATGTATATTTATTGGTGCTTGGAAAATAATGATTTACTATTTTCAATTAAATTTATTATCTTTTTATAACAAACCTGCATCGTAATTCCTGTTGAATATTCTGAACTAATAAGTTAGCTACAGGAATACTTGCCGAGCACACTATTTAACTATTTGTTCTATTGTTACTACTATTATCTATTGTTTCAATTTGTAAAGATTAGAATAGAAATGTTTCCTAAATGTTAATACCGAAGAAATGAAAAACAAAGAAAGGGCATAGAAGGCCATAATATAATTTAGTGATTACAATAAAATAAAAAAAAAAATGTTCAGAGTGTATTGGAACATTTGACAAAATAGTGTTTTAATATTGGGAACGATCATTTTTAACTTTCAGGGGGGAGGGTATGGTTTTTTTTTCATTCAAAATCTATTTTTCGTACCACGCAAGCATCATTATACCATATTGTTTTCTTCCAAATTGGAAATCGGAATATTTTTTTAGGAAATTATCATAACCCAGTAACGATTCTAATGGAAACTACACAAGATTCGGGGTCATTATCATGATTTTGTTGACAATTCATTTGTCCCTAGCGCAACCAAAGAGAAGCAGGTTATCGCAGTCTTAAATCTTAAGATATCAGTATTGTCGTTTAAATTGTAAATTTACAGATTGCGTCCCTGTTTCCTATCTTTCCATTTGGTCGTAGTTTGGATTTGAATGACAAAAACCTTACAATTTACAGCAACGAATTACCTTAACGTTTTGTGTCGTTAATTAGATTTATATTATCTTATAAGGTTTTAATTGATGTAGTGTATATTCTATTTCAATTATCATGAATCTACATTACCTGCATTTCCAGTGTAACCAGCTACTTCCAGCTTGTACCCTGACCTTTCGTTCTTAACAACAAAAGTGTTGTAGATGGCATATCGGTGGTTATTTTCAAAGTCCCACATGTCTATTCGCAATATGTAATATCCCTGTTCTGTCAGTTTGCTCAAATACTCATTCCCTATAGTTAAAATTGCACAATTTATTGCCACATTGCAATAATAAAAAGTTTTGATATGTGTCAGTTAAACGTTTTATGAAGAAATGCATGTACTTCATCAATTACTAGTAACAACATCACAATAGTGTGAATAAATCACCTACATCTCCTTTTTACTTATATCTTAAGAATCAGTAAGGTACTGTTAGAAGTGTAAGAAGCACAGAATATTAAAACCTTTCGAAACACTAAGATTTTTACCTCCAAAGGCATGAATAACATTATCAGTATTCGGCGCAATATTTTGTACATTTATGGTTTCAATTATGTTTTAAGGTCGTAACTGATTTGACTTTCCAATTTTTGTTTAAATTTAGCGCCACTAATGAGTTTCGTGTTGACGAAAGCGCGTCTGGGGTACTAAAATATGAGCTTGGAATCTTTAATGAGGATTTAGATTTGTTTTAAATTGTAATTGAAAAAAATATAAATATATTATATTTTAATTTATCTCTGTCAAATAAGCCGACAATTAGATAAACAAACCTTACCTAACCAGAAATCTCCTTCAAAATTCCCAAAGCCATTTTTATACGACTCCCAGTCTCTGTAAAAGCCAACAAAACCATTGGTTCTTCGTTGGAATAACTGTGGAAGACAATTCCTTTTAGATATCATTTCAGCGATGAATGAAATTTGACTTCGTTACATGCATCTCTATTAATCAGGGGATACTTTCTATATCTCTTGTTTGTTCTTTAATAAATTATGTTATTACTATCATATCTCAAAACAGCATATCATACTCGTAGTGCGTTTGTGTTGATAGTATTATATGTTATTTATAGAGCTCCTTTTACGAATTAACGTATGAAATGCACGGAAAGCGTTGTTGTTAGTCATACCGATAAAATGAAATTAAATGCTTTTTCTGAAATAATTTTGATTTTGATTTTTCTTTGTTTAATTTATTATTCCATTTGTCGAAATTGAAAAAAAGAGGATTGGGTTCTTAAAACAAAACAAAAAATCTTGTCCTTAACCATCCTCGTCATTGGATGTCTTTGTTCATATAATTGTGTTGTGTTTTCCTTTCAATAAGTAGGTGTTTGTGACAGGATCTTAAGCAGTTCTTTATTGATAAGGTTGCTGTCTTCTTGAAGTTTCTCTCTTTCTTCATATTAGCACGGTTCTGTTGCATTGTTCTTGCATATCAAAAGGGATTACGGTATCGTACATTTGTACTTGTGGACTCTTTATTTTACGTTTTCCTCTTTTTAACAAACATAAAACTATGATAGTTTATAGTTTATCTGAATTTATTACATAAACTAATCAAAATGTTTTCAATTTTTAAACGGCATTTCTAAAACGGCACAACTTTCAGTAAATATCATATATACGAACCGTCCAACCACCTCCAAAACTCTTCATATCACAAAAGACATTGAAACCGGAAGTTCCGTCCGGATAAATTTTATAGACTCCACTTTTGTTTTCTGATTTTCTCATTTCACCACAGTCGGAAGGTCGGGCGCCTAAACCTTTATAGGATATAAAAATAAAGAATAAAGATGATATGACTCTCAAACATGTTCTATTTTATCTATTTTATAATTAAGAAACTTAAGGTTCTAATACAGTCTGGCAAAGATGACCTGAGATGAATTTGGCTATTCGGTTTAGGTCATTTTTTGTGCCTGGCTATCACATATTAAGGTTTGAGGGTGCCTGATGAAGGTTACTCCAGAAAATCCTTCGAACGCCTAGATGTATAATGTGTTTATTTTATTTCAAAATGATAAGTGCTTTCTTTTTAACAGCCTGCCAAAACTGAATATTTAAAAAGATATATTTTTGGTAGACGAAGAAAATTGTTGCATCCATAAACTTTGATCTATCTTATTGGATAAAACTTATAGTTCCATCTACAATCTAATTTATTTTTGTTAAAGTTTGAAAGAACCAACTCAAATAACATGTAAACGATTTTTTTAATTGTAGCACATTACCTTTGGAAGGGGACGCGATGCATTGACTCGTAGTTTCTGTGATAAGATTAGCCACTTGGTCGGCTACTTCCCTGACACATTTCTCTACAATAAATATTTGAAGACATCTTATTCTAATTTCAATCATTAAAACTATTGAAAACAGATATGTTAAATATGAACTCGAACAGTTCAAACAAAATCGATGTAACAAAATATTGTCGTAGCAGAAATTTGTAATTCAAATTGTCATAGAAGAAAATGTTTTCAACGTGGTCTTTTATAAACGCGTGATGATTTATTGCAACATTATATACCTATATGGAATTATAGCTTGGTACTTGATTTAAATTTTGTTTTCTCGGTCAATGTGTTCATTGATTTCAAATTAATTTGTTCATCAAATCAAACATAATATTGTGCATTTTCCTACCTTTGTTTATTTCCTTGCCATAGCTTTGTACAAAAACGAGAAGAAAGGCAGTTAACAGCAATTCCATATGCATTGTATTCCGAATGTGACTTGAAACAAAACAAATGAATATGTTTCCTTACTGCTAGTATTTTGACTACATATGCTGCCACATAAATATACGTATAGACTTTTACAAATGTTGTTGCGTGTTATATGTAATATGAGAGGCATTATTTCCTGATCATTTAATCGACTTAATTCTGTTATTCCCAAAACAGGTTCTGCATTCTTAAAAGTTCTAATACGTACCAAATGTCATTGACTGTACATAGGATTAGTTTAATTCTATACATGTACCAATGAAAAAGGAGGATTTTGGAAATGAAAATTCTGGCGTGTAAAGAACTGGAAACAAAATAACCTTCGACAAGACTGGTTGTAAAATATATATTCTGCACAACAAAGTGTAAGGAATGAATGAGCACAAAAGTGAAAAAGTTAGCGGGATTAACTTGTTACTTAAAAAAAAGTACTTTTTCTTTTCCTTTATTTACCCGTTACACAAGTACACGATTTGCCATTAACGTTAGCATTCTTAGTCCAAACATACGCTTAAACACTGACTTCATAATATCGAAAACATTTTAAAACAAAATAAAAGGATAGCCGTTGGAAATTTGTTCATTCACAAGTTCTTAAATGTTTATTTTAAAGCTTTAAATCTGGTATGCTCTAGTGTATAGGCCAATATATTTTGGTAATTTCTGTTTTCCTTTTTATGTATTATTTAAATTGTGTCATTTATAACAAATAAGATGCGTCTAAAATTGTATAATTTGTGTTTCTGTAAAAAAAAACATAGTTGCAAAACCGTTTTATAAACCAAGAGGACGATGCTCGAAAGATATAAAGCTAACGGAACCAGACAGGTTAAAGGACAAATACAAACATATATACATGTAAACGAAAATATTAAAAGAACAAAGAGGTCATTTACATTTTCGTTATTTGGTCTCTGATGTAAAGTTGTCTCATTGACAATCATATCCCGTCTCCCTTTTTATAAGGAAACCTCACGTTATTTCTTATTCATATACCACAGGCAAACATAATTGGTTTTTGACAATGGACAAGCAACCAAAACCATAAGACATGCTATCAATGTTGATTCCAAAAAAAATAAATTTAATGGACGAAAAGATAGGCATGTAGAGACAGCTACAAAGAACGATACAATTAACGACCTTTGAAATATTAAAAACTCATCTTAAAGGCTTATAATTTTGTACGTCAAACTCGTGTTTCATCTACTCAAGGCTCAGTGACGCTCGGATCAAATACATGTTTATTTAAAATAAACTGCTATATCATATGTTTTAGTAAGAATCTGAAATGAAAATAGTAAATACTCGGTTTTCCGTGCGGTCAGATAAGGATAATGTATAAATGAAAGGTGATATCGCAAAAAATATCAGCGCCAGATCAAACATAATTTAGATTTAAACAACACACCTAAATGCAGAAGAACACAAAAAGCGCAAAAAACTTAGGATAAGCTAGAATCGAAGATCTGGTATTGTTACATAATTTTACAGCATACGACTTTTTTTATAAGAATTTGACTATCTAGTATTCAATGACATATTCATAAGTCTAAACCCTTATATTTATGACTTTACCAAACATTTGGCACATACGAGCGAATTCTAGCACCTTCCTCTTTTACGTGCATATATTTCTGAAAAAATATGATGATGAAGTTGTTTATGTATAGATGATGCATCAGTTTTGCATTTAGTCTATATAATAGGGATAATTAGTTTAATAAAAATCTTGGGACGAATCGATTTTTATTTAGATTTTTTTTCTTTATTGAAATAACGTAAATATTCCAGTATTTAAACTCCCCCAAAAAACCGAGGAAAAACAGACAATACCAGCGTATGGATTTTCTACCTAGGAATAGATTACCTTAGCTGTATTTTGCAAAACCTTTCGGAACTTTGTGCCCTCAATGCTCTTCAACTTCGTACTTTAATTGGCTTTTTTTAATTTTGTGATTCGACGAGCGTCACTGGTGAGTCTTTTGCAGACGAAACGCGCGTCTTGCGTACACAATTCTAATCCTAGTATTAATGATGTGTTTATTATTAAGTTAAAATTGTTCAAATGGCATAAGGATTAATCATCAAATGGTAAATATCTATTACGGAGTAATAGAGACATTATTTTCAGCTTGGTTCAAATACCATTTAAAATTAAAACTGACTCTTTAAGGATACTGTAGTATATAGTTCATATGAACATAACATCTTGATTTGCTGCCACTGCTGTACTGATAGTTCCTGACATTTTGATATCATGTTGATGATAGATTTTTTTAACTGAACCTGAAATAAAATCAGTTAAATATAAAAAAGGGGATGAGGTATGATTGCCAATGAAACAACTATCTACCTAAGTTCAAATGAAGTGGATGCAAGCAATTATAAGCAACCGTACGGCCTTCAACAATGAAATATAAAGTTTAACTCGGATGATATGATATATTTGCTTAAGGTCCGGGTACATGTAAGTCATTTATATCTATTTTCGATCGTCACCTGCCTCGAGTGCGGGAGTATGTGGTTTCGATCCATGGCCGGGTCAACCGAAAGTCTTGGGCCTATAATTGCTTACAACACTTCATTTGAACTTTGGTGGATAGTTGTCTCATTGGCAATCATACCATATCTCCTTATTAATATATTGGGACTTGCTGTTTTTTCCGACAAGCACGATGGGAGAGATAAGACAAAGACTGGTTGACCGGGGGTCTGAATAATGTGTCCAGGTATGGTAACAGGTCTTCTTGTGGTCTGTTACCTTGCAAATTGGCACGTTAAAAATTCAACACAGTGTGTCGGTCTTTTTCAAAAATAAAACCCAGGTAGCTATGATATTACACAACCACTGACGCGGTTCCTGGCGCGGTTCAGGCTGAATATTAGTATGTACTATCGTTGATACTCCTTCCCTTACTTACTAATTTTAAGTTGGACGTGCAATGTCAGCAATATTTTAGTTCACTTTATTATAAGGTTGGGGTAAACAACGGATTAAGCTCTTACATTTCGAGGAAGTTGCAATACAATCTATACTACTGAAACATCGAGGTCCAATTTGATAGCCGGCATGACGCAAAAACGACGAATCAAAGAATTCAACTTGATGTATAACTAATACAGGACAATGGTGTTGATTAAAATTACACCATTCCAGGCCCTTTCGTTTTCTACATAATAAATATTACCAATAATTAACAAGCTCCGGTCGAATCTGATACCGATACCAATAGTATTATTACATGTAGTTTCCAGTTTTAGTAAGAAAACCAGGACGGGTTCAAACGGAAAGATTTTGAAAGCAAAGACAACTGTGCACCTTATAATTAGTATGACTTTATCAGATGACAATACGAATACTAATAATCCAGGCTTAAAACAAGGTGTAGGTACTTTAATTCAGTCATTGACCCGCGATGTCGCGGGTGTGTTCTAGTAACATTTAAAGGTACCACATTAAATTTTCCAGATACGCATTTTGAAAATCGATGTCTCCTTAGTGATGCTCAAGGTAATGGACTCAATGCTCAAGGAGCCTGTTGTTTAGTGGTTGTCGTTTGTCGGTGTGGTCATAAGTGTTTCTCGTTTCTCGTTTTGTATATAGATTAGACCGTTGGTTTTCCTGTTTGAATTGTTTTACACTAGTCATTTTGGGGCCTTTTATAGCTTACTGTCTGATGTGAGCCAAGGCTCCGTGTTGAAGGCCGTACTTTGACCTATAATGATTAACTTTTTACACATTGTGACTTGGATTGAAAGTTGTCTCATTGGCACTCAAACCACATCTTCTTATTTATAATCAATCCTGTGTGTCCAAAAATTAAGGCATTATATAATGCTAGAAATGGTTAATCCACGTTAATAGAACATACACAGATATTTATTTTGGACTATATAGTTTTAGTACGTGTTGTGTACAAGACTGTATGTGAACGAATCTTGAATTGACTTTGCAGTGGTAGCGTATAAAAAACACAGGTTAATCAATAAGGGAAATCAGACATCAAAAGAGGACAAAAACAAACAGCGAGATAAATGAAAAATGTACACAAAATAAAAAAAACCATAGGAGATGGAAAATATTTATAACAAAAGATTTGGACAATACGTTCTCCAAACGAAAAGGTTTGTAATTAGATGATCAATACAAATGAACTGCAGCATTCAAATTAACTGTTAAAGGTCAAGTTCGAAGTAAATTGAAAAACTTTGAAACACAAGTATGTATTACAAAAGAATAAGACAACCCCTGTGTGAAGCTTTATTTTTTTTAGAGAATAAAGTACATTTTAGTGCAAAACTGAAATCAGGGTATTCATTTTTATTTCTTATTTTTTGCTAGGCTCGCCGTATCATAATACGTGTTGCCTTCAATGAGTTGTTGTATTCCTTGCAATGACTCCAGTTGGCACCAATAGCATGAGCACTGTGTTTTCCCTTTATGTACCTCCCGTTAAGATTTGAGCTATGACACTGATTATACCACCATCCTCCTTTATACATCTCTGCACAGTTATGGCGGTAAACATCATTATCTCGATCCCTTGTAGAACATTTATATTCATTATGACTGCCGAATGAATCACCTGTATAAAATAAAATATTTAAGTCTTAACTAGTCAGTTGGTGTCTGAAAAATAATTTTCAACTAAATATATTATATATTATCAAACCTGTACCGTATTCTAGTCCGAGATTACTCTGACGTTCAACGGCTGTTTTGCCAGACAAGCTGGGGCCGTGGGACGTCAGAGCTCGTCCCATATCAAAAAGTGGATATTTGCCCGTCCAAAATAGATGCGCTGCTTCGTCGCTTCTGGTGCCAACGGACGGCCTTGGAATTATATAAATCGGGTATCAATTTGTTCATTTTTCATTTATCTCTTCATTTATGTAAGTTTCAACTACCTGCCACCCTTTATTTTCTTGTATTTAGACAGTTTTCACAGTGACCCACCGATTCTGGCATTTTGACTTTCATTTTGAAAGATTGTCATGTGATCACGAGAAAAAAGTAAGGCACAATGGACTATGGGAAATGATGTATGCATATGACCCTAGGTCAATAATGAATATATAATCTAACACCTCGCTCATTTACGATGCAAGCAATGTAAATATCCGAGAGCTTCCGAATGTTATCGTGGTTGGCACTAAATGCTTAATACCGATCTCCTGTAAAGGAGGTGAAAAATCGTGGTTGGCTACTAAATGTTTAATATCGATCTCCTATAAAGGACGTGAAAAAAGTATAAATATTTGCATATTTGAGTCTCGAGGTCGCAAAATCTCGTCCATTTGAAAATAAAAGTAAAAATGTCTGAATCGATGGGTCACTGTGAAAACTGTCTAAATATGAGAAAATAAAGGGTGGTAGGTAGGTGAAACTTACATAAATGAAGAGATATCCACTTTTTGATATGGGACGAGCTCTGAGAAAACAAAGAAGGTCATTGAAGGCCATAATGTAATTTGGTTAATACAATTAAAACATTATGAGTGCAGAGCGAATTGGGACATTTGAAAAAATAGTGTTTTAATATAGGGAATAATCAGGAATAATCATTTAAATTTGGGGTGGGTGGGGGTATGGTATTTTTTTTCATTTTGAATTTTTTTTTCGTACCACGCAAGCATCTAATTTTTTTGTCGCGCAAATTCTTTTCCTTAGAATTTAACATTAAATTCAATGGTAAATACTCTCAATCCTTTTGGTCGGTCTTTCATTTGGACCAATCCTGACACTCCTTGGTGTATTATAATTCAAGAAAAACCTTAAAATATGTATTATCTATAACTTATTTCAATTTCAACAAAACAGATATGCTAGATATAACCTCGAATAGTTCAAACAATATCGATGTAGAGATGCAACAAAATGTTTTCGTAGAAGAATTTTTTCATTCAAATTATCAGGGAAGAAAATGTTCTAAACGTAGTCTTTTAAAACGTGTGATGATTTTTTGCAACATCATATACTTATATGAAATTTACTTGTTACTTGATTGAAAATTATGTTTTCTTGGTCAATGTGTTCATAGATTTGATATTAAATTTGTTCATCACATCAAACATTATATTGTTCATTTTCCTACCTTTGTTTATTTCCTTGCCATAGCTTTGTACAAAAACGAGAAGAAAGGCAGTTAACAAAAAATCCGTATGCATCGTATTCCGATATTGACTTCAAACATAAATAATAAATGTGTTTATTACTACTAGTATTTTGACTAAGTAAAACTCACATTATCTTTTATTCATATACCATAGGCAAACATAGATATCTCAATTTGGCTTTTGACAATGAGCAAGATACCAAAACCATATGACATGCTATAAATTTTGAGACAGTCGATAACGGAGCCGACATGAAATCAACAAAAAAATCCTTTAATTGAAAAGAGAAATATATCGAGACAGCAACTAACAACGATATAATTCACAACCTAAAATTTAAAAAACCTCATCTCAAAGGCTTATAGTTTTGAACGCCAGACTCTTATTTCATCTACTCAAGACTCATTAGTGACGATCGAATCAAAACACATGTTTATTTAAGAAAAAAACTGATCTATTATAATTTTAGTAAGAATCAGAAAATAGATATAGTAAATGCTTGGTTTTCCTTGCAGTCAAATAAGGATATTGTTTGAATAAAAGATGTTATCAAGCAAATATCTGTACCAGTGTAAACCTTATGTAAAAGAAACACACATCTATATCAACAATAAATCGATGACACATTAATCTATAAAAAAAAACTGAAAAAGATAATTTGCGTATGAGTACGAAATATTTGGAAAAAAATATAATTTCTTTTATTGAAATGACCGGAATTTCCCAATTTCTATAAAACTCCCTTAAATTCGATTAACGATTGACACTGATATAATGTCTTATCTAGTATCTTTGATAAGTTGTTGTTGCTTGCATGTACTTCCGATAGTATAATGCATATGTCGAAAATAAAATGATATCACTGTACATGTTTCAAATTGACTGACTATCTGTAAGATTTGCAAAATGGAAGGATGGATCACAAAGGAAACCTAAGAACACTCAAAATTAAAAGCTGACAAAATAACTCAAACATGAACTTGGGAAAGAGAGGCGAAAGATACCAAAGAGACATTCAAACTCATAAGTTGAAAATAAACTGACAACGCCATGGATAAAGAAGAGAAGACCAACAGACGAACAATAGTACATAAAACACAACATAGAAAACTAAAGACTGAGCAACACGAACCCCACCAAAAACTGGGGGTAATCTCAGGTGCTCCGGCATTACGACATTTGGAACATATCCGCTATCATCTGTGAAACGGATATTCCATATAGGTCAACCAACTCGTGATGGCGTACGTAAAATTTACGAAAGGACGATGATTTCAATTTCTGCATTTGTGAATCTTTTTATTTACTTTATAATTTCCCCATCATTTGTATTTATGCTATTATGTTCCTTTTGGTTGTATTACTCTTGACGTGACTCGGTATTTGTGAATCCAGCTATTGCGATTTTTTTTTTTTTTTTTTTTTTTTTTTTTTTGCTGTGGTCGTTCCTAGTGCAGGTGCCATATAGGAAACAGGATAATGTTTTTTTTATACTTTCTGAGAAGGTAAATAAATTGTGTGTTCCGATTAATGAGATGAAAATTGCCAACTACATCAGGAACAACTCTTTCCCAATTTAAATGGCAAATTTATCAAACCTTCATCATAATCAAATGCTTGTACCATTATCCAATGTTTTTGTCGCTAGGAGTACCTGTGATTTTTCATTGATTGTTTTGATTATCTATGAAATCACATAATAAAACTTGTATAGCATAAGCTTTTCTACTGACATTATGTATGACGATACTCTTTGTTGGCAAATATTTTAATGTACGTTGCCACAGCTAAAAGATTTCGTTATTGTCCTATACTTTATTATTGTCAATATCATCTTACAACTTTTACCAAATTGAATTCATTTAGTTTCTGGACAGAGCTATGCAATTAGATGTAAGCATGAATAAAACGAGATGGGGGATTCGTCAACAATACTGCAATCATAAGCCAAAAATATCCAAAGTCATCTAGACTGGCGCGGTTAAAGACCGGCACATTAATGTGAGTATAGAAATATACTACATGTTATTCTCTAATGCTTGTTTTATTTACTTGATAAACTCATCATAGATACCAGGATTAAATTTTTACGCCAGACGAGCGCTTTGTCTATAAAAAGACTCATACAAATATATTTCTACGACCAAAACAAAAACAAACAAATCCAACCGTCACGTTTGTCGCTTGCATTTTCTATCTAATGATATAAACAATCATGGAAGTGAAAATTAGAATTCAATGCGTTAATTTTTATTGATTATTTTTACTAGGCTCGCCGTATCATCATACGTGTTGTTTTCAATGAGTAGTTGTATCCTTTCCAGGTAGACCAATTAACACCAATAGCATAAGTACTGTGTTTTCCCATGAGGTACATCCCATTCAAGTTGGAGTGATGACAACTCGTATACCACCATCCTCCGTTATACACCTCAGCACAGTTCCTGTTGTAAGCATCATTATCTCTGTCCCTTGTAGTAAATTTATATCCATTATGTTGGCTTAATGAATTCCATGTATAAAATAAATGTAAACATTCATATAACTATGTATATTAGTACTATATTGAGAGTTTCTAAAAACAAAGGATAAATGTGTTTTTATAAAATGTAAAATCTTTGTAAAATAAATCTGCACCGTTTTACCGTTGAATATTCTGAACCGATAAGTTAAGTAATTACAAAAACACTTAAGCACTGTAGTAATTATTTTAAAATTATTTGAAACACACGTAAAAATTGATTTGTAAGCGAACAATGATGTCATACGTTAAAGTTCATTTCAAAAAGATAGAGAATTTTGACTGTTAAGATTCGATCAAAATGTGCAAACCTAAAATAATGAGAATCCCTCAAACTTAACAATTAAAAAAAATACACTCGAAAGGAGACATACTTATAGTATAAAGGTTTTGCATTTATAAGGTTAAATTAAAGGTGTACCCAACAGTTTGACTAAAATATAATTGACTCGTTTAATTTTCATCAAGATTTTGTAAGAATATTAACCTTGGCCTGTTGACAAAAATATAAAAATTTCAAGAAAATTGAACGTCACAATTTACAGGAAAATTTCATTGAATATATAGCATTTTGACGAACACTAATGTTGATGATTTAGAAGCTTGATTTCTCTTTACTAATAGTACGGGATTAAAACGTTCAGTGTTTTTTTAAGAATTATCTCCCTGAGGTGCTCTGTACCCCCTTAATTGTAAATATACCGATGTCTCCCTTTCTTTGCATCGTGAATGTAAGTCAGTCGACGCGTCCAGTTTCTCTAAGTTTGGAGTTCATGCGATTGTCTAAGGTTTTGTTTTAACTTCGTTTGAATATTTAAAACTAATTTACGCGTTTAAACCTTTGCCAACTCATTCGTGTTTTTGTTGAGAAGATACACAGACGGCATATTAGCATTTAAATGATAAATTATAATAGACTTTATTTGCATTGATAGTAATGCTAGGAGTCAAAAGCAACCCATTTATATTGAAACTTAAACTATAATGCAAGATTAAACTTTCACTGGTAAATGACGACATGTATTAAATCATTTCAAAATCCAACAGTAGATATCTATATTACTAGATCTAACCACGAAGTCAACAATCGACTTTTAGGTTTTTGACATAAGAGGAAAGGAAGATAAACAGTGATAAAACATAAGACAAAAATCTTATGAAAGACTAGAAAAAAGCTAATGCGATAAAAAAGTAGAACTTTTATTGCGGTTCTTTTTACTTTTAATTTAAAAAAAATTAGAACTGATCGCAAATGTAGAGTTTTGTTTACGGGAACATAAAAGCACAATGATCGTAAAAAAAATCCAGGAAAAACACTCTATTTTATTCTAAACTTTGCTTTTACGTGCTTATATGAGCGATCGAATTATGAATTCAACAATATGATGAATGTTAACAAAATTATCGTAAAGTTCCGGTTATTTTCAGGATTAAACACAGAAAAAAATTCATATAAATTACTATAACAAGTCAATTAGCGCAAACGGAATACTTCTTGTTCGCGCAATGTAATACTGGTTAAAATTCAAATTCGCGCAAATGCATGTCGCCCAAATAATGCAAGTATATGCAAGTTAAGTTTTTGGTACTCTGTGGTTTATAGATATCACGTGACTTTTATATCGGGAATGCTGCCAAGATGGCGACATGTCGAGAACTGATAGTTATTGTTAAAATCGAATTTGATCTCTTAGCAAGGAGAATAAAACGTTAATATTTATGAATATAATATTTGTCATACATAAAAAAAAAAACTAAATCATACATTCAAAGTAAAGAGGATAGCTAAACGGGATCCACTATCATAAATCGAAAACAGACTACCAACACTATCGTGAAAAGAAAAAAACACACGAAAAGACGAGCAATTGCATAAGAATCACCATACTGTCCGAGATTAATCATACGGCCTAAATTGACATCTACCACAAATTCCTGATATAGGACAGTTATATAAACTTTGGCCGATTTAAACTATTTAGTGTATCACTTTCTCATACAGGTAGACTTTGATTTTGGTCAATTTTGAAATTTTCCATGGCAGTTTAGAATATTTGTCACTATATTTTCAACAATTTCATACGACAGTATAAAGAGTATTATATAATTTTACCGATTATCAGGTTGTCTGCGTATTGATATTTTACAATATAAATATGTAGACAACCAGATAATCGGTTTATCGGGTTGTACTTGCGTATTTTGCATGATAGAAACGAGTGTTTTCTTTGTTTCACCAGCAAACCGGAAGATGACGTGATAAGGTCGGGTCAAACTTATCAACGTCGGTTCATTTATTATGACGTCGGTTATATGTCCGGGTCCAAGTTATCAAGGCCGGGTCAACGTATTTGACGTCACAAAGCCGTGATATGCAATTTTATTAAGAGCTGGGCAAAGTGATACAGACAGAGGGACGACCGATAATGTTGAATATTTGTTTTATTATTTAGTTTAATGTATATAATTTCAAATGCATAAAATTCTCTTGTTATATTATTCCATTTCAATTTTTATTTTTATCACCTGCATTTCCAGCGTAATCAGCTACCTTCAGCTTGTACCCTGATTTTTCGTTCTCAACAACAAATTTCTTGTAGATGGCATATCTGTGGTTATTTTCAAAGTCCTCCATATCTATCCGCAGTATGTAATATCCTTGTTCAGTCAGTTTGTTCAAATACTCGTTTCCTGTAGTAAAGTGCATAATACACTTTTTAAATATACTTGCATTATAATTGTCAATTAATTTGTCGATCAATATACTTCATAGTTAACAATATTTTTGTGAAAGAAAATGTATTTGACCATTTTGAACCAAAATTTACTTGTTCATGAGTTTGCATTATAAATTGAGGATTCATGTGTTCCATGATACATGTATTCTTATTCAAGATTTCCAGAAAACCAGGGGTTATTTGTAGTAAGTGACCTCTGAATGGTCGTGTTTCACTTCAAGACTTTAAACATTCCTTGGTTAAAAATATGCATATAGAAAGGTGATACATGTGCAATTTAGGATATATCTGGATTCTATGAAGTTAAACTTAAAAGTTAAATATTTAGAAAGCTGTGAAATGAAAAAAAAAACGAATGTTTGAATTGATAGGGACATTGAATTGGTGGTCTGACACCTTTTATTACTTATTACTGGATACCTTAACTTCCCAATAACCCTTTTAAAGAACGATATATAGCACGGTCGTCAAGATGTACGGCTTACCACCAATATTTCTACAGTAAAATATGGCCTTTAGAAATATTGTGATGAGGTACATTTAACCGGCGATGTCAATCAGGTGTGGATTCTTTAATATCTTAAATATCTACACCAAAATCTTCAATAACAATCTTTACAATTTTGTAATAATATCAAAACCATTGCTTTTTCTACGTTTTACACTACTATTCTTCTTACTCATTGAAAGATTGACTACATCGTCTCATTAAACTGAGATTTTTCTACACAAATGGGAAACAAATACAAAGATACAACTTCTTGTTCAAGGTCGTAAAAAATCTCAATTTGTTAAAAGCTACTCTGATTTCCACAACAAATACACCAAAGATGATATCACTAAAATGATTGACTTTTAAATTGACAACATAGGTGTATACATATTTCTTACTTTCTTATTTTCTATTACTCGTATGGATTAAGAATTCATACAGAACCTTCTATTAAAAAGACAAAACAAAAGTATCCTACAAAGTTCTTTAATTTCTCTTTCAGAAATATTGACGATGTTCTGTCAATCAATAACCCACATGTCAATGAGTGCTCACATCTCATATATCTTAGTGAATTTGAGAATAAGGAATCAATCGAAAGTAGAAGGTCTGCTTCTTATCTAGATCTCTTTCTCGATATTGACACAGACGAACGACTTCAAACTTGAGTCTTTGACAAACGTGCTAATTGTTGAATTCCAATTTCCCAGCGGTAACATACCTTCTGTCCTATTGTATGGTGCTTACATATCTCAGTTAATACATTATGTTCGTCCATGTTCACACGATATGGACTTCGTTAACAGGGGTGTGCTCCTTACACTTCAGAGTTACAAATGCATGAGGAAGAACAACTTATATCGACATTACATAATTTACGGTCACAATCACGTATTGGTTGACCGATACGATGAGTCGGTAACCCAACTCACTAGTGACATGTTTTCGAGATTTTAGATATTTCGATACCAGTATAGGTCGTATGATCTGTAACTTTATCGATTGTGTCCTATTCCCGATTGTGATGTTTTGACTTAGTGTTAATTCGAATTGCTTGTGGTTCATGCATAGCAGGAGACGCTTACCTTGTCCACACATCCGGTCTAGCTCTTTTTGCAGTTGATGCCATTCCCTCAGTTTTTATTTGTTACCTTGATTTATTACTTCCTAATTGATAATCGAGATTGGAATATCAAAAATCTACTGTCGCCTTAATTTAGCATTGTTTAAAATGTATAGATAATTCTATTCTCAATTTATAATCATATATATTTCTAATGCCATCTACAACATATAACCATACCCAACCAGAAATCACTCTTTAGATTTCCAAACCCATTCTTGTAAGATTCCCAGGCTCTGTAAAAGCCGACATAACCATTTGTTCTTCGTTGAAATACCTGTGGAAGTATAAACTTATTATTTCTCATTCTGATGCAATATGACATGCATGGCTTATGATCAGATTTCTAGTCTGGATTTGGCTTTATTTTAAGGTGTTTTTTTGTTTGTTTGTTTGATCGATCAGAACTTCAACGTTTGTATTAGATTGGGATTTTTAAATAATTCGGCCTCGACCATTAGTGAAGAGACATTAATTGTCGAAATGCGCATCTGGTGCAGTAAAATTGGTACCGTTAATATTATGTTACGATACTTTTGATTTGTTTACATATGCCTTCAATTTCACTGGGTCGTTACAAATAGACAATCAAATTCATTTCAGAGATGACTATTGTATTTTGTTTTACCTTTAATATAATATATAAATAAAAAAAATAAAAAAATAGGGGTTTACCTATATATATTAGGAAGAATTCATTTTTTGCCCCGTGGAAAAACTTATTATATTTGTTAATGAATACTTTCATTTGTTTTAAAAACCACTATGAATCATTTAATGTCCTCCTGCATCAATATTTCATATTAGCGGCCTTTACACAATTATAAGCTTACTAAGGCAAACCGCAAAAAAACTCTTTGCCTAAAATATGGACGTAAAGTATTTTTTTATTCAAAATTAGGTAAATGTAGGGCGCGATTTCCAACTGGAAAGCCGCCGTCTAAAACAAAACCCACTTTCAGAGAAAGTATGTGCCTTCACATCAACACTCAATATAAAAATAAGAAGGTGTGATATCATTGCCAATGAGACCACTTTCCACCTGAGACCAAATGACGTAGAAGTTTGCAACTATAGGTCACCGTACGGACCTCAACAATGAGTAAATGTCATACCGCATAGCAAGTTATAAGAGACCCCGAAATGACAAATGTTAAACAATTCAAACGAAAAAAACTAACGGCCGGATTTGTGTTTACAACAATAAACGAAAAAAAATATATGACATAAAGCAACAAACAACAATCACTGAATTACAGGCTCCTGTCTTTTGCCAGGTAAATACAGAATGTTTAAACATGTTTTGCAAGCACCCAACCCTCTCCCTAACCCGAGACAGTGTTGAAACATAAGAACAAACTATAAAAATCAGTTGAAAAAACTCATCAGATCGACATAAAGGACAAAAACAACAAACAAAAACACAAAAGACACAAATTACAGATCTGAGAGTACTCTTAGTTACTGAAAGAATTTAGTGACGGTTTTACGTAATTTGTGGTAAATCCAGGGCCCTCGGTCATAAAACTTTATTTGGTACTCGAAACACCAAATCCAGTATTTTGATTGGTTGATTTCTGAGTCTGAGTACGATAATCGTGCTTGAAAATTTTATGACCGCAAGTCCTGGACTTATTAATTTACCAGTTATACATAGATAACATTCATTGTAATCAAAAACGTCCCTACATACACGGGCAAAGCGATCGAGTTGGGATATACAAAATCCGTAAGATGGAACCAAAGGAACATTACCGTCCAAAAAAAAAGGAAAATGAACAATAGTTAACGCAAAATCGTGCCTTTTATCGTTAATTTTAGTGTAGAGTTTCCCGTGCTAAACTGAAATATCTATATCCAACCGGAAAGGACAGTTATTGCTGTTTATATTTGATTTATTAAAAGTAAGTCCCTTTTGGTAAATTCCGGCGTATATTTAGAGAATTCTTTGTTATTTAACCCAAAAACATCCTCTATTGTTTTAATATTATTTCTTAACCAACAAAAAATTCAATACAAATACGAACCGTCCAACCACCTTCATCAGTCTCCATGTCACAAAAGACGTGAAAACCAGAAGTTCCATCCGGGTAAATTTTATATACTCCACTTTTGTATTCTGATTTCTTCAAATCACCACAGTCAGAAGGTCGGTCACCTAAATCTATATAATACAATGGAGATAAAGAATAATGATTCTATTGCTCTCAAATCTGTCCTAAATATCGTTTGAAAATTTATCATCTGCTCAGTAGTCAGTGCTTCGGAACTGACATGATTTACGTCATTGTATACTTATTTTTGTCCTAGGTTAAAGTTATCTTTTTGACATTGAAACATCTTTTTTATTTATATTGTGTCATAGATCAAACTTATTCGTTGTGTATTGTCTTTTTGATTGAGTTAAGCCATTTCAATTGATATTTTATTGTGTGTCTTTTTATGTTGTAATGTTATACCACTGTTTCAGGTTATGGTGAAGGTTGGCGCCTGTTAAAACGTTTAAACCCGCTGCATTTTTATGGACCTGTCCTTAGTCAGGAGCCTGCTTTTCAGTGGTTGTCGTTTGTTGGTGTGGTTCATTAGTGTTTCTCGTTTCTTATATAGATGTGTTTGAGCTTTTGATTATGCCATTTATTAAGTGACTTTCTGTTTTGAATTTTCCTTGGAGTTCGGTATTTTTTGTTATTTTACTTTTTACCTTTGGAAGGGGACACAATGCACTGACTCGTAGTTTCTGTGATAAGATTAGCCACTTTGTCAGCTACGTCCCTGACACATTTCTCTACAATAAATATTTGAAGACGTCTTATTTATAATTTCAGACCTTCGAACTATCAAAAACAGTTACAAAATGTATACCAGATATAACTCGAATAGTTAAAAAAAATGTCGATGTTAGATTGCAATAAAATGCTCTCTCTGCAGTTTTTATTCAAATTGTCATGGAAAACGCTTTCTCTACAATAAATATTGAAAATATCACATTCAGACTTTCAAATATTATTAATATCCCAAATAAAGTAAAAAAAGATAATTTGGTCGAGAATTGCACACTGCAATCCGAATAGTTCAAACAATATCGATGTGAGGTTGCAATAACATATTCTCTCTGCCAAAACTTTGTTCAAGTTGTCAAGGAAAACATTTTAAACGTGGTCTTTTAAAAACGCGTGTTGATTCTTTTTCAAAATTAATCTTGACGTTAGAGTCAAGAAGATTGAAGATGCAACACAAGTTTGTTAGTACAGCTGCAGGTATTTTCATCATGTTATTGTACGTATACGAAGCTCACTTAGTATTTGATTAACAATATTCCTTTATTTGTCATGTGTCCATTATTTTCATATTAATTTGTTCACCAAATCAAACATTTATATTAACTTCGTCGTTGTGAACATGCATGAGATATTTGCCACTGGACGTCAAGCAAACAACAATTAATTAATCATATATGAAATACTTACCTTTGTTTATTTTATGGCCATGGCTTTCCTCAGAAACAAGGAGCAAAGCAGTTAACAATATTTTCATATGCATGGTATTACGATATTCACTTCAGAGGAAAACCTGTACTGAATCTGTTTCCTCGCTATTTTGACTACATATGTCAACATTTCAAATATAATTTTCAGAGTTTATTTGCGTGTTACATGTAATAAGAGTCGTATTGTTTTCCTGATTAATATATCAACTAAATTCTGAAACGCCAAAAATCTCGCTCGGTATTCAAAGTTACCATATGTACTAAATTTAATACACTGTAGATATAGTACCAATGAAAATATGCAATTATTTATTACTTTATTTTAAAAAACTAATTTGTTATTTACTTATTTGGTTTCATTTTAAAGGCCTTATTTAATTTTCAACATTCTGTTTTATATCCAAAGGAAGCTTAGTATAGAAATACACCCAAGGATAATTGGGGAATAGAAATATAGTCACTTTGTTCTTCTTCCGACCGGCAGTAAAACCCTTGCTATAGTAGGCGTCCGTTTGGCTGTGCAGGATGTACAAGTACGCAGCGACGTTAAGCAACTAACAATCAATCAATCAATATAGAAATATAGTTTCACGATACAAATGTTTCCTCGTTAAGCGAAAATAAGTTAATACAGACAACAGTAGTATGCCGGTGCTCAAAAGTCATAAATCGATTGAGAGGAAACAAATACGGGTTACAAACTAAAACCGAGGGAAACACATCAACTATAAGAGGAAAACAAAGGAACAAAAGGAACACTGAAGTGCAACAAAAACAAACGCCAACATACATAGAAACGAACTATTTGATAACAACTGCCATATTCCTGACTTGGTACAGGACATTTTAAGAAAAAATGGTGGGTTGAACCTGATTTAATGGCTAGCCAAACCTCCCGCTTTATTACAATGTTGAAAAATATCGCTAAAATGACAACACTACATGACAGAAATATAGCACAAACACATAATATAATAGTCGACACAACATATAAACCGCAGAACAACAACGAACATATTCCATCAACGACAGACACCACAGGAAATCACAAACAGTGACGCGCTTACGTAACTAACATGCAATCTCGAACTTTATACAATTATTTTCACAATACTCGTCCAAACAATTTTCATGACAATAATGTTATGGAAAGGCAATTTTATAATTATTTGGACTACAAACGATAAGAAATAACAGATTATCCAACCGAAACCATAACAGAAACATCAAAAATAAATACATGAATGTTGGATGTACAAAATACCGAGACACGTCGTATAGCAATGCAAATTCACATTCGGTATAACAGTCATATTCGGGAATAGATCACGTTCGATACTTAGCACGACAGGCTGAGAAGCAATCTCACAATGCTTCTTATCTATTCGATATACCGTAACAGTCTCCATTAAATATATACAAACGAACCTTGTGCATGCTGCATAAATCCGAGACAATTATGACACATTTGGACCAAGAAGCATGCTAAGAACAACGTTAACAATCCTCCATAAAGCCTAAATATATGACAAGTTACAATATGTTAATAACGTGTGAAGCAAAATTACCATATTAGATATACATAGAGCATCAGACTAACCACTTCAGTGGTTTCATGGTAGCGTACTCGCCTTAAATGTGTGGGAGGTCGTAAGTTCGTCTGCCACTGAGTTCAATCAAAAAACTTGAAAATTGATATTTGTTGCTTCTATGATAAGCGCGAGAATAATGGAGTAAGTGCAAAGATTGGTCGGTTCAAAGTCAGATAAATGTGTTCGGGTAGGGCAATATGTCTTGTGAACTGTTATCTTGTTAACCAGCACGCTAAAAAATGGTTCAGTGCAGGGTCTAGTTGAAAGAAGGTTTCATGTCATATTAACATATTCTTGTACTAATATGACATATTTGTATGAAAAACATTGCTCTGTCTACTTCATTTGGAAAATAAATAGCAGTACGTGGCAGATATGAAAATAAATTTCCAAACAACAACAAAACTTAAAGAAGCCAGACTGAATGGATGTAATTCAAGCAGAAAATATTGCACTACTGATATTATCAAGAGGAAACGCCTTGCTGTCTCCAAAAAAGGAATACCTATTGGAATTGGTTCACATGCTTATATATTATAAAGGTCAATAATTTTCGCTATAATTTAAACTTTTTCAAGAAAGATTGTTAACAGTATGTTTTGCTAATTTTTTTTTATCTAAACTTACAGTGTAATATAATATCATAAAGAATTCAGGGATTCCATGAGAATGTTACTTTCTAAATTAGTTTTTTGTTGAGTTTTATAGATTGCTTTCACTATTCTGTTCTTCCCTTTTGGTTTTGCTCCGCATAACTTTTTATGTATTTGCTTTCCAAATTGTTGTTCACAGGCGTATCTTTTCAATGATATTCCGAAATCACGTATCGTGCGTTTTGAATTCGGTATTCCATGTTGATATCACAATCACCGAACTAGTACATCTAATGTTGGACTGTAAGTCCCTGGTGGTACCACCCGCCCAATACCCAGTGCGTTATTATTGGTATGATTTCAAAATGACACATGTCTGAATATGTTTTGATTATAAATCACAATCAAGGTTGCAAGTCCTTATTGTAAAAATATATCTTATTCATTGAGACGAGGATGACTGTTCTGGTAAAGCCAGTCTTGTATACCAGAAACATGTGTATGTCTAAATCACTACGAATTGGTTGGTGCCTTTGTTGGTTGACTGTTAGTCTCGGTGGGTACCATTCAGGCATTCAACCAGTAGGAAGTGGTAGGCTGGCACAACTAAGAGGAATTTTTAAGTTATGTTGTAGTTACTGAATTATATTTTTGTAATATAAAACAGATATAATTCTATCAGACAAAGTAGATATTATACGGTTCAAGGTGTTATGCTTATGTCATTATGGTTTCGATGATCACAAGGTTGCATGCATTAAGCTTTCTAAACATTAAAGCGTACCTCTAAAAACAGGTATCATGTGTATTGAAAGTTGTTCTAGATATATATAAATATGAAGATGTAATATGATTGCCCATGAGAGACTTATCCACAGAGATCAAAATGACGTAGATGTAATCAACTATAGGTCACCGTACGACCTTCAATAATGATCGAAACACCTACCGAATAGTAAGCCATTAAAGGACCCGACATAAAACAATTCAAAAAATTCAAACGAAAGCCAAATATGATAGACACCAACCATCGACAAACACTGAATTACAGCTAGGGTCCTGGATTGGGACAGCCAAACGCAGAATGTGTCGGGGTTGAACATGTTTGCACAACTATTAAAAAGACAAGACACATAGTAAGGATCTTAGAGAAACAGTCTCAGTTGCTAGAGGATATTTCAAAGCCAATTACAACTAATACATAAATAATGTTTTCCAGACTAAAATATCAATCAGTACACATCAAAAGGGTTTAGTGTAAAAAAAAACATAATTAGTCTTTGGATAGAATGTAAGATCGTATGCGTGCATAACTGTATAGGATTACAATTCATATTTAGTTATTTTAATTCAATTTAATAACACATTCAATGTATTAAAGTTACGATAAAACAATATTCAAAATTATTATTGCAGTGTTAAATTGATAACCTTTTAGAATAAGATCATTCATAAAATAGATAAGTTTACACGAATCGTATCTAAATTTACGGGCTTTAAACAAACATCATCACCGTAAAAATGAAGGTGTGATATCCCGTTTGTAATAAGTTTTCATGGTGTACAGTCAAACTTCAGAAACCAAATATTGTTTCTATGAAAGAATTTTAGTGAAGGTTCTAAGTAAATCTCTATGTATACTTATTCATTGAGTATTTATATAATGTAATTCTCATCCATTTCAAAAGGCGTTTTTCGAGGAATTGTTGGATGTACAAATACGCAGTCATTCATGGTATTTGAACCCTATGTAGTAACATCATGATGCGCTCTCTGCACATTGTTGCAGGATTGTTATGACAAAAACTATGCAATGAAATGTTGATTGAATACACAATTTCATTGAATGTTCAGAGCTGAATAAAACGTAACCTTTTTATTATACAGAAGCTATTTCTAAAACAATATTTCTTTGCCATCAGAGTTATCGCTCTTAGTCCGAAAATTGAAACCATGAGTCCATACAAAGCAGCAAAAGATGATAGAACAGAAATATTTAGACTGTAATTATTATAGCATCACAATACAAAGTATGAAAAAGGGAACAATACGCGAATTATAGACACAATTCAAATTAAATTAATTATTCGCATGTATTCGTCCATTCATCTCGTTCGCATATCTGCAAACGAAGTTCGATTAAAGAATTAAAAATATGTTGTATAATGAGAAATATTTAGGAGTTACTCATTTATCATTTTTAAAACAAAGGTGAAAACATCTCTTTTTTTATAAAATACATGAAAGTGATAAAAGCTAGACTTCAATGAAATGTTCATAAAATGAAACAAAGAACACAGTAACGAAACTCAGTAGTAAAGAGTTTGTGGAATGGTTGCTTTGACTTACAAACATATTGGAGACCACAGACGTTGCATTCTAGAATTTAAATGACATCTGAACTTCTGCAGGTCACCATCAAAATATTTTGAGTGGTTATTGTTAGTGTTTGTAGCATTTGTAGATGTTATCAACACAAAATCGACATTCACCAGAAGCATTATTGGATCCAGAAACAATATGTACCTGCAAAATTTTTGTTTAAAGGTTGAGATTTTTTCTTGTTTTGTACATGTTGTAGTATATCTAAATTGTATATTGTCCCGACAATGTACGCATATTGTTTTCTACCTTGCAATCTAACATTGACACTTGAAGTGTTTAGTTTTGTAAGACTTAGTCCAAATAACTATTTTTTTTAGAAATCCACATAACTTAAATGCGGACCGAGAAGAGAGCCCCAAACTGACCTGATACGTAAACAGTACTCATAGCATTATCGTTGGCTTAACATAGAGCCAGGATAACATGGGTTTCTATTTGTATATTATAAAAATAAAGCAACTAATCATTTGCATACCTAAAATTTGTACAATAGTTGGCTTAATGTTTTTGCCAAAGGCTAAGGAGCAGT